CCAGGGCTGGAGATCCACCTCTGCCTCCCCAAGCACCAATGACAAGTGATGGAGCTGTCCCCGGGGACCCCAGCCCTCACGCTGGGGTGTTCCTGTCCCAGGACACCCCATCCCAGGCCAGCCCCCACCCCAGGAAACACCAATATAGACCCCACTAAACCCAGCCTGACCCATGTGAGGGGCGAACGGGGCTTTGCTTTGCCAGGGTGCATCTGATGCCCATCCTGGGTGATGGTCTGCCACCTCCTCGCCCTGCACAAGGGCACGGAGGGACCCTGTCCTGGGAGATGGTCTGGCATGGACCTCCTGTGCCAGACCAGTCCCACTGTGCTCCTGGGGCAGGACCACATGGCCATGGTGCACTGTGGGTCCAGCCCAGCGTGCCCAGCCCACAGCCAGGGCAGGGAGAACCCACGTGGTGCCCAACGTGGGGACAAGCCTGGCACATGGGGGGACCCAGCGCATCGCCCGGGATCCACAACTCACCGTCGAGGATGTGAAATTCATCTGCGGAGTCACAAAACCCTGCAAGAGAGAGAGGCTGGGGCAGTCACCCTGCCAGGGCACCCGGGACCCCCCGGCCCTGCACCCCAGGGACACTGTGGGGCCCAGCCCAGTCCTTGCACCTTGCATCGTTGTCCCTGCGGTCGCAGCAGCATGGGGACAGACCCCACACGTGGCCCTACCGTGGGTGACACGGGGCCACAAGCTGCTCAAACCCATGTGGATGTGCCTCCCCCTCCCCATGACGGACGGGACAGACCCCAGCCCCAACTGCCAAGCCCCTCCTGGGCACTGCCCTCACCACGGGTGCCCCCTGCTCCCAGGGGACCGTGTGCCACCCACCGTATGTGGGGAAGTAGTAGGTCATGTCTTCGCTCAGGCCCACAGCCGAGACACGCTGCTCAAACTTGTCCACGACAGCATCGCTGACCCGGATGGTCCGTCCTGCGCAGGGAGGGAGATGCTGTCAGCGGCCTCGAGCTCTGCCCCAAAGCCCCCCGTCTCCCCCGCAGTAAAGCTCAGGGCCAAGGGGTCTTTCAGCTCAGAGAAGCTGGTTAATGCCTCCCCCCTCGCCCCCACAGCATTTGGGGACAAAACTCTCCATCTGGAGACCAGGACCCTCAGGGAGACCCCATCTCTGCCTCTGAGTCCTCCGGGGCTCCGGTGGGCATCCCCTGAGCCCAGCATGGGTTTCCCACCCCTCTGCCACCCCTGTCCTTCATCTGCCACAAGCCCCCGAGCACCGACCCACCGTAGAGCTTGACGGAGATGCTCCGTCCCTTCTGGTAATAGAGGATGGCGTAGCTGCTGTGGTCCGTCTCGCCCACCACCACGTCCACCTTGCTGCCATACCCACGGCCTGGGAAAGACAGAGGGCAGCCCCGGTTGGTCCTGGTTAACCCTGGTTAGCCCCAGCACTGTCCAGGGGCCTCGTTTTGCCACGAGTGAGGTGTACAAGGGGTGAAAATGAGGGCCAGAGCGGGTGCGGCCCCACAGGGTGCTGTTCCCCACCAGCAGGCGCCAGTCTGCGGCACTGCCCATGATGGCATCCGGCACTTTGAGACCCCAGAGGTGGGATACTGGGAGGACACTGGGAGGGAGGACGCTGGTACCAAAGTCCTGCTGAGAGCAGGAGTGGGGGGCTCCAGCTCCGCAGTCCCTGCAGCCCCCCTGCCACCGCAGCGCGGCCTCCCTCACCCTTCAGGAGGAAGCGTCCGTGGGCCTGGGCAGGGAGGTAGCGCTGCCTGATTTCCCAGCACATCCCGTCCCTGTATGGGGAGAGGAGACGGTTGTCGGCACAGGCTGGGGAGGATCCAGCCCAAGTCCCTGCCCATCCCACTTGCCAGGGCACACGCAGGACCTGTTTTCTTGGGTCTTTGTTTTCTCCGCAGGGAGGTGCTGCAAAGAGATGTCCCAGAGCCCCATGGAGACACAGGGAGAGACACAGAGCCTGAAAACCTGCTGAGCCCGAGGGGTCCCTGCCTCCTCCCTGCAGCTCTGAGAGTGGCTCAGCCCCTCAGACCCCCGGGGGCCGGGGAGAAGTGCCCACAGATGCGCTGAAGACCCCCCTTCCTCAGCTGTGCTGCCACTGGCCCCGAGAGCCAGTCCCTGGCTGGGCGGCTGTGGAGCGGCCACATGCCTGGTTGGTGCCTCGGTTTTCCCAGCCTGGCTGCCCCCCACCCCGCCGAGCCTGGGCAGCCCAAGCCCATCCGGGGCTGGTGGCCGTGCGGATGGCAGGGTACCAGCCCTGCCGTGGCCAGGGCTTCTACCACAAAACATCCCAGAGGAGATCCCACCCACGCTTTGCTCTGGGGCAGCTCTCTCCTCCTTGGAGCCTGTGGCCGGGGCACCGGTCCTGCTCTGACCTGCCTGCAGCGTCCCCGTCTCACCCAGCGTCCCCCGTCCTCATCCCAGAGCACTGGCTCTGCTCTGACCTGCCTGCAGCGTCCCCGTCTCATGTCCCACCCAGCGTCCTCATCCCAGAGCACTGGCTCTGCTCTGACCTGCCTGCAGCGTCCCCGTCTCACCCAGCGTCCCCCGTCCTCATCCCAGAGCACTGGCTCTGCTCTGACCTGCCTGCAGCATCCCCATCCCATCCAGCGTCCCCATCCCAGAGCACTGGCTCTGCTCTGACGTGCCTGCAGCGTCCCCATCCCATCCAGCGTCCCCCATCCCCACCCGAGGGCACCGGCCCTGCTCCGACCTGCCTGCAGTATCCCTGTCCCTGCCTGCGGCCTCAGTGGCCGGCGTCACTCACAGCTTCCTGAAGGTGCTAATGGCCAGGCTCTGCCCATCCAGGACGGTCACCGTCACCGCCGTGGCCTCCAGCTGGTGGCTGTGCTCCGCCAGGTAGCTGCAGTGGGAGGCCATGCCAACCAGGAACCACTTCCCTGCGAGCTGCATGGCACGGGGGTGGCACCATCTGCCAGGTCACCACCCCGGGGTGCCACCACCACGCTGCCCCGAGCACCCACCACCCTGAGCACCCTTCTTCCGTGCTGTCTCCGATCGCTTGGCACCTCTGCCCACAGCCTAGCCCCTTGGCGTGCCCACGGGGCCACAACTGCCCTTGTTCGGGAGCCGGCAGGTGGGACAGAGCAGGACAGACACAAGCCTGGCATGGGGACAGGCTGGAGCAGGGGGGCTGCGAGGAGGGGGTGTCCAAGGCAGCCCCCCACCCCTCATACTGCCAGGGAGGCTGTGAGGACCCCAGTGCAGCGCTGGGGGTGTGGTGGGCAAGCACTCCGCTCCCATGCCCGCACCTGTGGCCCCACTCTGGACCCCCCAGCAGAGCCCCGAGCTCAACCTGAGCCCCGGCTGGAGGCCGTGCCCAGCGCCGCGGGGGTAAGTGAGTGC